GGTCATACTGGATTAGGACCCACCCTAAAGACCTCATTTTAACTTAATTACCTCTTTAGAGACCCTCTCTCCAAATGCAGTCACAGTCTGAGGTACCGGGGGTTAGAACAGCCTATGAATTTGGGGGAGGGGGCACACACAATTCAGCCACTGGTTGTTTTTGACAAATGACCCAAAGGAACAGGATATTCACACTGGGCAAGCTCCGTGAAGAGACAAGCCTTGTAAACCGGGTTTTCTAGGGAACTACTAGACACTTCAATGATGATAATTCTGAGCAGGAGGCTTTGAGAGCTCCAGTCCTGTTCTGGCCCCTCCAGCTGTTGCTAGGCTGCCCCTTTGCACCACAACTGCAGGCTGTGGCTTTTCAAGGCTAACGTAAAGCTGAGTGGGGGGAAGGCTAAAACTCCACAAAGCTCAGGGTTCTTCCTGAAATTCAGCCATTTGTCTTAAGCAGACACTCCCAGAGTTCATTTACAGAGCTCTGAAGGAGTCTACTTCGTCCATCGCTGCCAGCGTTCTCATTGCTTTCACGGAGGAGGCAGTTTCTGGAGGTCCTTTCTCCAACTCCCCCCCCAGTCACATTCTCTTGGCGGCATCCTGTGTTGTTTCTTCACACCTGTATCCCAAGTTTCTAATTCTCTCTCCGGCCAATTCCAACTGGATCTTAAACCTCCATGTAGATTTTAATTTCAATAACTGTATTTTTAATTTTTAGCTCCATTTGGTTAGTTGCACAGCCAGAAATGAAAATCTAGGTGGATTTTATTTTATTATTGCCTGGATTTTATTTTATTATTGCCTGTTTTCTAGTCACGTTACAATAAACACATACCTCCTTTTTGGGAAAACATAGCTATGAAGTTATTTTATCACCATTTCCTTTTGACTTCCTGTTTGTGCCTCATTCTGAGGCCATGTATCCCTGCCATCACCTGTCTCCCCCCATCACTCCCAAACAGGTAAAGAGTTGGTAACTCAAAAGAGAAACATTTTTTGAGAAATAAAAGCAATATGCTGTTGCTCTTTGCTTTGCAATGCTCAGTGGGCCTGCAATACTTGTTTTAGAGGTATAGGGGCAGGGAGAATCAAATAATTGTGTCAGCGAGGGAAATCCTGAAGAAGGGTAGCATTCCGCTTGGGGGGTTCAGAGGAAGTGCGGAGGGCTGGACGATGGCTGTGCTGGCTCAGGTTCTACCAGCTGGAGCTGGGTCAGTCACTACATCCCCGGCACCCCAGGTTCTTCTTCCAGCCACGAGAGCAAGCACAGTGCTGCGGGAATGCTTTGGAGACCTGAGCCCCTCTGTGTGAGACCCATCCTCACCCCACCTGCATTCAGCATGTAGATCTTTTCGGCGGTCCAGACGGATAATATACTGACTGGCTGGCTGGCCTTTTCCTAGATGAATGATCGCAGGGCTGCAGCATGGCTATCGTGAGTTCTAGTCACTTTTACCTTTGTGGACGCTTTATTCCATTAAACAATTTAATTATGTTTTTATATAATTATATACTATGTATAAAGCATATAATATACTTTATATAAAAATGAATATACTAATATTTTCTTCTACCTAAAAGTTCTTTTTTTTCCTCCTGATTTTAAAGGAAAATAATAATTTTCACAGGCCTCTAAAAGCACTGTGGGCCCTTAGCACTGGGTCCACTGAGCTAATGGAAAAATCAGCCCCGCAGGAACGGCTGGATGAATGTTTCCATTTCCTGAGAAGTTTCACAAGAGAAGTCTTCAACCTCAGAAAAAACGCACCAAAGACATTCCCCATATTTTATACCAAGCCTGCTGCCTGGTTTTCTTTGCTAAGGAGATGGGTGGAATGTCCCTTGTTCTCCCTTTTCACGTTTAAAAGGAAGCTAATCCTGACTCCTGGGCTGCTGGTAGCTCATATGGCATTTCTGTGCACGTTAGTAAAAGGCTTCTTGTCTTTAAGCAGGAAGGCAGGGAGGGGAGCCGGGGGCACAGTGCAGGCAGGTGGGGTATGGTGTGACTTTAAAGGATTACATTATTGCTCAGTCTGAACAACCATGTCCACTGGTCCTGGGGAAAGTGCAAACTCAGGCGGGCATACCTTCCAACCTCGTTTGGGGACCACAGTCATGCCCTGTGTGTCATGGCATTGGGGGTTGGAGTTAACACTAATTCAGCTTAAAGACATATAGGCGTAGTTCATAAACCAAATTTCATTCTAAGTCTTTGGCCAGAGCATTCAAGTCCCAGTAGGACTCAGGCACAGCCTTTAAAAGCCGTGTGAGATCAGAGTCATGACCTCAGAGGGATCCTGGAGTAAAAGTGGACAAGCAGAATCACATGAGTGTGCACTGGTGTGCATGTGTGTGTGTGTGTGCGCGCATGACCCTGAGGGCAATTGTTGCCTGGTGTAAGCCAAAACTCTCATGTTGCTCCCTGGGATTCTGCTGGGAAGCCTGGAATCCACCACAGGCATGACCCCCTGTGTCTACAATAAGAAAGGCACTGCCTTAGTTATGGCACTATTACCGAGTCCAAGCTCGTACTGCACACTGCACAACAGGTCCATAAGTCAAGAGGTGAGTTGTTGGGGCAAAGAACAGAGACTTCATTCAGAAAGTCAGCAGATAGATAAGATGAAGGACTAGTGTCCCAAAGAACCATCTTCCCCAAGTTAGAATTCAGGCTTCTTCTACGCTAAAAAGGGAGGGGGTATGGTTGGTTGTTACAAACATCTTAGTGTCAGAATCCTTTGTTCTTGCAGCTGTCCACGGAGGTTAGGTCATGACGTCCCTGTAAACCTCCAACAAGGCAAATGTTATTCTCTGTTCTGCAACTTTTTAATCTCTATATAAATGGAAAAGTGCTATACATTTAAAGGTCAGAACCTCGAGAATGGGATATCCTGTGTCTTTCAGACCATAGGCAACATTCTTATCTCGGAGCAAAAGCAACAGAATACAAAGGTTAAAGTAGAAGAAACAGATCCAATATGGAGGAGGAGCTGCGCTTCCCAGTTACAGCACCCTACGCGGGTCACAGCCTCAACAGCTGCACGCAGCAGCCCCGCCTGGCTCACCAAGTCCCTTGGCGATGCAAAGCCCACGCACACACTCACTAAAGCCTCCATTCTCTCTCTGCAGGGATGACGTGCCAAGCTCGAAGCTCCTACATCACCAGTGAGATCCTGTGGGGGTACCGGTTCACACCCGTCCTGACGCTGGAGGACGGGTTCTACGAAGTCGACTACAACAGCTTCCATGAGACCTACGAGACCAGCACCCCGTCCCTCAGCGCCAAAGAGCTGGCCGAGTTAGCCAGCAGGGCAGAGCTGCCCCTGAGCTGGTCCGTCTCCAGCAAACTCAACCAACACGCAGAACTGGAGACAGAGGAGGAAGAAAAGAACCCCGAGGAGCAGACGGAAAGGAATGGTGATGTGGCGAATCTAGAGAACGAATCCAAAGTTTAGTCCCCTGGCCGGGCAACCCCTCTCCTCTCCCCCGCATCCTTCCCTCGTCTCTCATTCTCTTTCTTTTCTGTCTCTCCTGCTTCGTTCTTCCTTTGTATTTAAGTTTGGCATTACCAGAAAACAAATCTTCAAGGTGTAAAATATCTACCTGCCCTCTCTCAGTTACTCAGATTGACAGGGTAGACGTGGATTGGGTTAGGGTGTCATGTGCCCTCATTTATGGCCCAGGTCTTCTCCCTAAATACGACACATCCAACTCCTGGAGATGTAAGCACTTACCTGCATGTGTCGTACAAAACCAGAACACTCAACTGGGTGCGGCAAAGATGTCACCTGGGACAGGACCAGGAAGGTCTCTGGTGCCCACTCACTCATGCCGGGAGACACGGAGTACAGCCCTCAGTTTTATACGTCTCAATAAATTTCATCTGCGGGGCGAGGTGCTTGCCCCATGCGGGCATCGCAGTTACAGGACCCAGGTGAGGCAGAGACTAAACACTGTACATATATACGCCTTATGTAATTATTTTCCTTTGCAGTTAGTAATAAAACCCAGCATGTACAAAGGTACTGTAGAACACAACTTCTAAATGATGTACATAGGTGTATAATTAATGTAGGTTTAGATATATAACTTTAGAAATGAGACAAAAAAAAAGATTCCCAAAGTACAGTAGGCATTTCTGTTCCGATGTCTCTGTTTTCTGGATTTCTTTGGTCCCACTGACCTCTGGCCCTTTAGTGCATGGCCTTTGTTCTGTGTCCCAGACTGGCAGCCGTTTGGGTACTTCTGTTCCCTCGCTAAACCTTTCGTTGAATCTAATAAGCCATAGGTCTGGGGGAAGTTTGGAGGTCCAGGAGATGGCAACACCCACCACCAATATACTGATTTACTGTGAAATGTTTACAAAACTGAGGTCTCTTTTTTAAGACATCAAGGGCCTCGCCGACTAGCCTGGGGGAGAATTCCAGGAGGAGGCCACGCTCTGGCACATCACCAGTCATGTGTTCATGCTTTTCAAGTGAGCTCTTACCCTTTGTAGCACAACAGTTTGAGAAACTTTTCTTCTGTAAAACCATTGATTCTCCAGCTGTTCCACTCTACCATCACAAGAAACGACAGACTATTAAAAAATGAGACATGATTAAGTTAGTAGAAGATGGTTTGGGTCTAAAGTCAAGAAATTCATGATGCAAGAAGTCGGTGAAGTATCTTTTAATCACTGATCTCACACACTTTGACTCCATCTGGCACTCTTCCTGTGGCTGGGGGCTTACCCATCAGCATTTCTTGCATGGATACTTTTTTTTTTAATGAAATTACCACAGTTCAACATTCAAAGATTAGATCAACAATTTTGGCGACTGTGTAAGAAATCTCTCTAGAGTATGCCAGAGGTTAGAAATCAAATCCAAGGTACCTCCCAATCAAAGAAAATTTTTAAAAAACTAGTCTTAATTCATTGTAATCTATAAAGAGAAAGAGAAAACGTAAGAAAGAAAAGAAATGAAAAAAAAAAAAGAAAGAAAGAAAGAAAGAAAGAAAGAAAGAAAGAAAGAAAGAAAGAAAGAAAGAAAGAAAGAAAGAAAAAAAGAAGGAAAGAAAAAGGAAGGAAGGAAAGAAAAAGGAAGGAAGGAAAGAAAGAGAAAAAGGGAGGGAGGGAGGGAGAGGGGAGAGAAAGAGAAATGGAAGGAACCATATTGTGTTCTGAGAATCTAATTTTCAAAATGAAAAAAAAATGTTCAAATGGAAACATAAAAAAAGGAAGAGAATCTTAGACAAAACTTCAAGGGCAGGTGGAGATTTTGCACTGAAACAGATCTTTCACATTAATTTTGCATTTATAAACTGTATGTTCGCTAACACAATTGACCGTCATAAATATTCATTGACTGGATGCAAGTTCATTTTCAGCTCCTACAGCTGTGCTCAGTTTGAGGCTCTGCACCATGCAGGTCAAAGATCTCAAACTAGCTGTCCCTCCTTGTCGCCCTTGCCTTCCCTGACCAGATAGCACAGGCCTTCGCTGTAGTTCGGGGACCCTGTCTACTAAAACACATGTCCCAGAGATAAGGAAAGTGGCTGGCTCCTCAGTCTGACATGGGGGTCTCTCTTCTCCCACTTCTGACACCTTGCATCAAGACAACCGCTTCTTGGCACTGACCTTATGGAAAGCAAAACTGTTGGCCATAGCTCTTTCCTGTTTTCCAACATTTCATTTTCCCATTGAGTATCTGTTGAATCATTTATTCATCCCACTCACTCTACAGAGGAGGTTGTAGTTGAGGAGGAGGAGGAGGAGGGCGCCCCATGCACTTCCTGCAGGCTGTGGGGAGGTACTGTGGCCTTACCTCTCACTGTAGCCTTATGAAGGGTGCTCTTGCCTTGGGGGCGCTAACCCTGGACCATCACCAGAGTTGCAGGGTGAGGCGTGGTAGCACAAAGCAAGATCAGCTGGGGCTGCAAAAAGTCTGCTAATTTAGCTCTTGAAGACTCAGTGGGCCTTTTGAATCCATTGCTAAGGCTTAAAGGGCACACACACCCAGCTGTCCGGTTGGAAGAGAAGCTTGGGGCCCTTTAGCACAACTGCACAAAGAGCTCTGACAACCCTTGGGTCACGCACACGTGTCAATTCCGTATCTGTGACAGGGCACCTGGGTATGAGGTCTCTCCCTGTTTCTCACTGTTTTTGGTATCAGTGTAGTTGGAGACAGAATATGAACCAAATCTCGTTTTTGTAATGTGAGCCTCTGAACCTTTAAGTGAGGATGCTCCAAAAGAACCTTTTATTAGAATGTCCCTATCAAACATGTCTATTTTTCTACAATTATTGATAACAGTTTAAACAGTGTATTTTGTGTCAACTGTTAAAATTTGGAACGGAAAGAACCTCATCAAGACTGAATTTTTCTAAGTAGCAAGTGTTGAATGGTGTTTTTCATTAAGACAGTCCAGCAAAGATGACCTTACAATTTCTGCCCATTCTACTCCACCATATCCAGTCTCTGTTCCATCTCCACTCACTTTGCTAGCAAATCAAGTGCTATAGAAATAAATAAGCCTATTTTAATGCATCAGTACTCATAATGAATGAGGACCACTCTCAACCTGGTATTTTGGTCTGTTGGTTGGTGTATTTAAGTCCCGTTCCCATAAAAGCATCATGGTATCCATTAGCCAGATAAGAACTTGAGACTAAAGGGTTACAGTTTGCCACAGTTGACCCCAATCGGAAGAAAAGGGCAGACTCAGCTGGGAACATGACCTCCCCAAGGGCTGCTAAGACCCTCAGATTCTCATTGCCACCCACCCCAACATGCTTTCCAACTGGAAGAGCACCTATTCATTTACAAGGCAGCGTTATGTAACTAATGATGTTGTTTGTTTTGGGCTGTCCCCTGAGCAAACTATACCCTTTTGGATTAACACACTTGCAATCACTGTAACGTCTGGTCATTGCTTTTCCATCCCTTCAAAATATGGCATTCCAGCCTGGCTGGTCCAGTAGGTAGACACTTTATGTCCACAAGAAGGAAACCTCTCTTCCCCCACTCCCTTCCTCTATCTGTCCCTCTCTCTTTTTCTCTTTCCCTGGCTCTCCGGTTCTGGATCCATTTATTTAGTTCAGTATTTTATGTTCCCTAACAGAAATCGAGCTACTGTCTCTAAAAATGTCAATCTATTTCTTAAGCACAATGTTCTCTTGCCAGTTTAACCAAACTAGGGCTCTGAAATGTCTCTTTTTCATGATATTCTAATTAAAAAATTATTTATGACTTCTTTCAAAAGCCTAAGTTTTGAAGTCTCTAAGCAATATTCTTATGTTTTTCCTCCTATGTTTTCTTACATTTCAGGTGTCTTACTTTATCCCCTTTGCTTTTTTATTTAGATTAAAGCCAGGGTCTTTGGGGTGTTCAGAAACTGTTTATAAAGTTGGGAGCTGGTGGACAGAGAAAGAGACTATAAAAATTCCATTAGAAAACTACTTGAACTCACCAAAAGACTGTGGAGTCATTTGATTAGCTAAATAATCCAAGATTTAAAAAATTAAGATATTCATAGTCATTTCCAAAACAGCTTGTCAATAGTCTGACTAGTTTTGAGCCTTTCTTTCCTTGACTTGGATAACACTCTGTGTGATTCAGAGAGTCATAAGGTAGTTGAAAATTAAATGCCCTACATAGCTGGTAAACATTATCTTCTGTGATTTCCTTTCAAAGAATGGCTATAAAGTCAAAAATAAAGGCAACATATATGCAATAGATGATTCATTGATATTGCAGTATAATATAGTAAAATAATAATATCTTGCTTCTAGACTTTATGGCCAACTTGTGTTTAAGATAAGGTTATCCTTCAGTTTAAAATTGAGTAAAACCATACTTCTTCCTAATACATATCTGCCCTTAACATCTTGAAGAGCATCTGATGCAGAGTGTCTTATCTAGAAGTCAAAATTCTGTTAAGCTACTATTCGATTTGGACAAAGCACAGTATGTACAATAATAACAAAACGATATCACACCCCACATCGTGTGGTGTTTTGGAGCATCCAGAGCGCTTGCACAAATTATCTCATTAATTCTAATCCACCATGAGAGCTTTGTACTATAATTTACACTTTACAGATGGAAAACTAGGGTTTGGGCAAACTGAGTAATTTCTCCAAGGCTCCAAGGCCAGTCGGTCACAGATCCTGGTCTCAAATCCAGGTACTGGGGCTTAAACCATGGGCTCTTTTTACTATAAAAAGGGTCGGAAAACCAAATCTGCTCACAGAATCTGGCCCACTGCCTGTTCTTGCACCCCTTGTGAGCTACGAATGATTTTACATTTTTAAATGGTTGGGGGAAGAAAAAACACAAGAGAAGAATATTTTGTGACACACAAAAATTATATAAAATTCAAATTTCAGTGTTCATAAATAAAGTTTTATTGATTGGTTTATGGATTGCTTATGACTGCTTTCACAATATACAGCAGAGTTGAGTTAATTAAAACAGAGGCCACACAGCCAGATGACTAAAGTATTACTCTCTGACCCTTTCCAGGAAAAGTTTGCCAACCCCAGTACTGTACTGTTAAATACTATTAGTACCACTAATTACTTTCACATATTGTGCTATACTGTTAAGGGATCCTTGGACAACTTAGAGCAATGAGGTTCTTTTCCAGTATAAATCTTTTTTCCAGTATAAATCTATTTCCAGTATTGCTCATAGGTTTGTTCAAGGAAAAATAACTCTTCTGGGAGGGAGGGGGCGGGTAAGAGAGACAGCTGCTTCACAGGACTTTGTGTTGAGTGTCAGAAAAAAAACTCCTTCCTTTTCATAACCATTCCCCCAAGGATGGTAAATAGAGTAAACAGCCAGGCAGGATTCAGTGGCAGCTCAGAAAGTGATGTGGTAGAACTATTCACTGGTGAACGATAAAGAAACAGGAATTCTCAGTCCCAGGATTGAGCTATGGCTTCCCAAGTACACAAAGGCACTTCAATATGTAGATAGTTGGGCCATGAGTCTCTGTTGAGTGGGAGGAACTGGATTTGCAGTGGGTACCTCACATCCAACCAACTTCCCTTCCCCTACAAGCCTTCTCTCTAATGCTCTCCTGGAGCAGAACTAACCAGACTGCTGAGCTGTCTCTCCATCTTTCTTCGCAAGTTCCTCTAGCCCACAATTAATCAACGTGGTAAGAAGAACTTTGAACCACCATTCTTGTTTAATTGTACTAGAGCTGGCTCCCTGTAGCTATTCAGCTAAAAGTTTAACATGCAAGTAAAAATGAGATGCTTCTCTTAGAAAACGAACACGTTCTTTGAAAAGAGTCCAGAGAGAAACAGAGACGAGGTAAAGGGTTGTTGGGTTGTTTGCTGCTTCCTGATTCTGAAGCACAAGATAAAGACCGGTAATTACAGAAATATTGGATGGAAGAAATTCAGACAACGGAGTTTTGAGATAAATCAATGACATTCTTTAGATCATGAAGCTGAACTCACTCGCATTCTAGGGAAGCATTTCCAAAACCAGACATAGGTCAGCCAAGCTAGGGTTTTTTTTTAATCTCTTTAGTTCTATTCAAAAATATATCAGGTTCTCTTATGAGTGCTTTCTTGGAAATTAGGTGGGAAAGAAAAAATTTTGTAATAAATCATTGTGATGTTGTATTGCTGACAGATAAATGATGGAAAGTGAGATGGATTTGGTCCTGTGTCTGAAACTAAGCAGGTGATGGTATCTGCGATCACGCAAAAAGCTTGAGACCCTGCAACTGCCTGGAACAGCATAATATCTAAGTGGGAGGGGGGAAATCTCAAAGTCCAACACCATAAAACTTAAATAAATGTTAAAAGGAGTCAAACTTGTACTTGGCCTCATTGCCTTGGTGAAAGAAAGCTTCATGCCACCACCTAATTCAAATGAGAGTCATGGGGAAAAGAGGACAAAAT